CCTGTCCAAATCCAGGATGGGGCTATAAACGATTGTTTCCCAGGTGGCTACAATAAAATGCCAAATGGGGTTGTAATAAAGATTCTCGGCCGACCAAAACATCCTTGTGTATGTCTCCAAAAAGATAAATAGCATCCATGCCCCAATTTCAATTAAAAAGAACTTTATAATAAACCTTCCCACGATCACCATGACAAGAGAAAAGGCCACCAACCAATTGAAAAGCCTGTGATTGTATTCCTTGATAAAGAGAGATCGTGACTTCCCCAACATCTGTAAATGATGACTCATACACGATCAGAAAATTCAGCTTTCGAAAATGTACGTTCAATTGGGTAAGATTGGGATAATATATGATTTTATTTCTTGGAGAAAACCTATGCATCGACCGGAACATAGAGTATATACACTCCATGGTCTGAATATAAGCATTGGTTGTACAAGAAACAGTAATATACGTACACCTCCATTTTTAATCAAGCAAAACGTCCATCTTAGCTTGAAAAAATATATGGCAAACATCTACAGACAAACGGCTGTACCCTCACAGTCTATCAGTATGCACATGGGTAGAAAACCTACCAAATTTATTCTTTTTAAAACAAAAGAAGATTAAACTACCTATTTAGCCATCACATGGAAGGTCACTCAAAAGACTTGAAAGATATTGGGAACTTTATGAATAAATCAGGTAATAAACATAAGTTTCCTAAATGAGCAAAACTAAACTAAACATTTCAATGCCATCTATGTTCCTTGACATTAACATAAGATCAAATTAAACACCAAGATATCAATAACCCAATATGTGATAAGTGAATGTGTAAGGCAACAAATGGATGAAAAGGGGAAGAAACAAAAAACAAACGACTGCCTTACCTTTGACATGCGATGCTCATAGTTTTCTTTTGAAGGGCCAACACACTCTAGCTCAAAACTTTGGTTGCATTGCAGAAAACCTGCATTGAATTTTGCCATTGATGGAAGCCTTAGAGCTTGAAGGTGGTCCATTTGATCTTCACACTTCGTATAAAGTTCTTCACAGAGCTTTGAGGATTGATATTGATTTGCCAATATAACATTACTATGCACCTATAAAGAATTTCTAGAGGTATGAGAATTTACATATAACAAGGGGTTCAGGAATCAAATAATCAATAAAATAAATCAAAAAGGGAAAAAAAAGGATTTTAGGCTGTTGTAGTTGAGGCTAATCCCATATACAATGGATGTTAAGAACCAAACATGAAGAAGTCCTATTTTATTATTATCATTATAGCTACTACTATTGTCTATTATTTTACTAAAATCTCGCAACCCCTCAATGCTCATGCGCTCAAAACTGGGATTCCACATTTGGTACTCCAGACACTAAGGATGCACTCTGATGCGATGCCCCATGAGCAGTTAAATAAATCAATTTTTTGTTATTCCTTACAGTAAGGAAGTGGTAGCAAAATGACTAAGATACGCGAAGGTATCGTCTATGTTCAGGAAACTATTATTCACCAATTTGTATACCCTTTCGGCTTTCATAATTCAGGAAGATACTTGAGATCACAACCCAAGAAATTGATGCTACAGCTATACTTGAAAACTTTTTTTTTCCTCTAAATAGATGGGAAGTTGAAACCTTGTCAATTTCTTCATCAAGTTGTACGACTGATTTCTTTGCATGGTGACGGCCGAAATGTTGTTCATCAAAAGCTTGCATTGCTGCTGCTCGATGTGTTTCATGGGCACCATGCAGAGATTGCTCTGTCATAGGTAAATGCAATGTTGCCATTCTGTCACTGTATACTTTCAGACATCGCTCAAGAATGCCCTTGTTGAAAACCTCAACAAGGGATCCGGTAGATGGAATTTCCCCCTTGTTCAATGCTTCAAGAATCTACAAGTAGAAAAAAAAGGTAAATTGAAATTACAACTAAATTCTGTATTTGTAAAGATTGAAAACAAATTGGATGCAGAGTGTTACAATCCCAACTGTGACACAGAGCATCATTTCAAATGTTAATCAAATTGTTATTGTAACCACTGGTGAAAAGTCTAATGAGCAACTCAAGATTCGTCATCTACATGAACTGGAGTTGATAAAATTGCACATAAATGCACCACCTGTTCTAAAAAATATACAAATTCCTTTCCATTCAAAGATTTTCCCTGCACAATCTTTGGACGGATAATGCTCGTAACAAGCTCTTTCAACTCTTCCCTCCTTGCAACATATGTTGGCTCAAGCTCACCATCTTTCATATCACAAAGCTTTGTCCTTTGGAGATGAGGCTGTTAAAAGTAAAAGAATCACAATTTTGTTGGACTCAGAAATTTTTTTTACAGAAAGTATTCCAATTAGGAAAATGAACTGGATGCATAATAACCTGAATGGAAAATGAGGAATCATACTTTTTGTATTTATAATAGTTGGAATGAACAAAAAAAATCTCAGAAATCTCAGAAATCCTTAATCATATCCCACAAAAGCTGAAATAAACTAACTATTTCCTAAAGAATAGCAACACGTGATTGACTAAGAACAAACAAAGATCGCATGCAATCCTGAAGCAAATATTTTTTTTAACAAGAAACAAAAGAAAAATGTTCAACGATACAAGCTCTCAAAGGAAGCGAAAAAATTGAGAAAAACAACCAAACAAGGAACAAAAATACCTGATAATAGAACAAAAATACAAGATACAGGGAACACAAATGCACATAAAATACTAAACTTGCTAATAGGAGGTGGTTTCATAAACAAGCCTCCAATTGATCTCAGATTTGTGGTAAGCCAAACCATAGTTACTTCTCTATTTTGTTACACCTCCCTCAAGAAGTAGGGTTTGATCTTTAAACGTTCAGCCTTTACGTAAAACAGCTAGATTGTTTCAGATAGCAATTTTTGACTGATTTGTCAACAAAAACCTCTTCGCATTCCAAACCTGATGATTCCTATCAACATCCCTCTGACCTCATTGTTTCTTTTTCTTGCATTGATTGTCCCTCAATCTTGCATTAAATCTTCTAATGCTTTGAATTTCCTACTTAGTTGTCTTCTTGATGAATATGGACTGCTCCCAACTGCCCCACAACCTTAAATTCTGACCGTCTCCTCAATTTTCTCCAATCTCACAGAAATAGTATTAGGAGCATTTGTTCTTTAGGTGTCCTTTCACAAGGATTTGTTGGGGTCTCTTATTTCAACAATTTTCTATAAGTTGGGTGTTTGACAGGAGTGTTCCCAAGAATATTGAGCAGCTGCTGGAAGGTCCTTTATATTCCTCACAAATTTGGCTTTTATGGGTAAACTCCATTAAGGCTATACTGTCCGAGATTTAGTTTGAAAGGAATCAACGGGTATTCGAAGGGAAGTGTCATTCCTCGTTGGAGTGTTTTAATCTAGTAAAGTTTAAGGTTTCTCATTGGTGTTCTCTCTCAGATTTATTTGTCAACTATTCACCTAGTATGATATGTTCCAATTGGGAGGCATTTATAACTACCCCTTAGCTTCGTTGCTTTCTTTTATTTCTATTCACTCCTTTCGGAGCAATTTTATTCCTTCTCATTTCTCAATGAAAAGTTCGTATCTTGTTAAAAGAAAAAAAAGAAATAGTTATGATAGTAAGGGCGTGTCAGTAAATTTCCAAGGAATTGGTTATAATGGAGGGGGTGGAAGGGCTGAAGGTAGACCATAGTTTAGTTGGTTCAGGCTTGAGTGTGCTGTTGTGAGAAGAGGGTCCAAGCACCTTTAATTACTTTGGTGTTTGCCTTTCTGTAACTACTAACAAGATGGCTACTGTGATCAGAACAAACACTCCTCCAAATGAAATTCGCAATGATCTTTTCCATGATCTTGAGAAATGAGAAGAGAGAAAAATAAAGAGAGGACTGGGGTTCTACCTTTAGAAATGTGAAGGCTTCTCCATTTAGCCAGCTTAGCCTTCAGCTTGTCAGAAACAAATCCCAGATAGAGGAACTTCTACGGACTCCAAAGAGAAAATTTGAGGTAAATGAAAAGTATAGTTTCCTTTTTTCATCCAAAAGATGTACCCACTTCTAAGCTTCCTCATCTTTTTATTAATGTCTATATTAGCAGTTCTCTTTTTTTTTTCCTTTTGGTAAGAATTTCAGGGGTTGCAGTCTTAACTCGTAAAACAAGTAGTAACATTTACCCCAGCTAAGAGCTAATAACATAACTATATTCAAAAACATATTGAAAGAAGTTGTTATGTCGTTGAAAACTTGATTGTTCCTTTCAATCCATAGTCTCCATAAAAAGTCGCGAATAGTCAGATTCCAAACAATTACAGCTTCCTTCTTGTAAGGTATCGATTACCTTCTTGGAATTCTATTCCGATTCAAAAAGAGCCCATAGGCGATTACAAGTTACCCCACCAATTCGAGAGGGTGGGTTTCTCTCCTTCCTACCTTACTCACTAAGGCACAAACACAAAAACAGACTTGCCTCCCCCAGAAAGGGCACACTGCCTATATCTACCGTACCTACCTTCCCTCCCACAAAATTGGCAGATATTCTCTCTCTTGGCCGTTAGGCCTCCTCTTGGGTATTTCCCATATTACCCTCTTGGTTATTTCCCATCTTACCCCTCCTAGAGTACTTCTTTGTAATCGGGGGTCTAACACTTCTTAAAGGGATGGGCCACCAGAAGCGCATGAAGAAAAATCTTTGGGTTAATCTGGATAGGGAAGCACCAATCGAAGGCTAGCCTCATTCTATTCCAAAAACCAGTAGCATACATGCAGGTTACAAATAGGTGGCCTCGAGTCTATAATAGCAGTTTTAGAAGATTCAAAGAAAGCCTAGAGGCTTTTATAAATAGATTCGAGATAGACCACCAATTTTCACAACAATAATGAATCAGCGGCTGAAAGAGTTTCTCCACAACTTTAAAAAGGTAGAGGGGCTTGTCTAAGGCCTCTGTTAGCAAGAATTTTGCCTCTAATCTTCCATTGAGAATGGTATAAAAATATGTCGTTAAAATACTACCCAAAATCCAGTTCCACCATCTATCCCCAAAGTCGTTGAGTTCCAAAATAGCATAAAGATATGACCAATCAACTTTCTTCTAGAACTTCTCATGGTCCACTTCCAAAATCAAACCACTTCTTTTCTTGAACTTCTTTTCCCCTGAGAATAGAGGCCTTAGACAAAAGCCGACTGAGAATCATTATGCTGAAGGACAAGAAATTTTTAGTTGTTCGGCTAGAACCTTGGTATCCTGTAGAGAGAAGCAGCCAAACTGATTGACCTACAACCATTAATCTTAGCAGCTTTCATCCTTTTCGAAATTAGGATATGTAGGTCTCTTTTGTGCAATTGTCTATAATACTGTTTTCAAAGAACTCTCGGGCTACCTTTACTAAATTAGGTTTCAAAGTGTTCCAAGGTCTTAAAACTTTCTAGTTTCTAGTCATGCCGTAACAACTACGTCAAATTTCCAAATTCCAGGAGTTCTTAATTGCTTTGTGAATCTTTCCTCTTCAAAAGGAGGTTCCAACTAAGCACTCCAATAGAAGAGGAGGAATCCCATTGCAGACCTTGAAAAGTAAAACTCTGCCCTAAGAGTAGAATTTCCTGATACCAACCATTTCTTCCTCAATCTCATCTTCAGAGTTAAGGTTGGCCTAGAAAAAGTTCATTTCCTGGAAGAAACCCATCAATGGAAAAACTTATTTGTCTCATCACCATCCTTCAGCCGAAGAAACATACATTATTGTGTCCAGTGTCCACCCCCTTTCCACCTTGGTTCACAGATTTGAAAGCACCCCAGCCAACAATATTTATAGCCGCCTTCAATACTTTGCTCCAACCGACTCTAGTAAACTATTTCATTTAACCATCCAAATTACCTCCCCACCCTTAAACAAATTTAAACCAAATGCCTAACAAATAGGTACGTCCAATACATACCTAGAACATAGCATGCTATTTCATTAAACCATCCTACTATCGAGCATGTCAGGTTTATAGAAATAACATGATTTAACATAAAATTAAATTTACATGCAAGGATCCCATCTTCCTAACACCACAATTAAGCATAACCCATGTTAATAATAAAATCAAAAGTAGAGGCATTGAGAAGTGAGGCAGGGTCATACTTGTGGTAAACTGAAGGCTGTACTATTATCTCCCATAATAGCCAAAGAATCTCGAATTTGGTTTACCTGATGCAATTACAGAGATCACGTCTTTTTCCAAAGTAAACTAAATGTTTCTTTTGTAATGTGAAAAATGAAACAAAAGTCTGCGGGAAATACCAGATCAATGTTTTTGTCTCCTGCATTTACGATAAAAGCACCATCCATTAAAAAAAATTCCATACACGTACTCTATGATACTTAAGAAATCAATTTAGTCAATTGCATAAAATCACTAAAACTGACCTTCCCTATTAGGCACATGCCTAAGAGCTTCATTCACCATTTCTTGCACAGTTTTTCCTTCTATAGAACAGCAATAGAGAAGCCAAATAAATCTAGAGTACAAAAATGGAGCAGTATGAACAAGAAACCTACTTTTTAGTCCTCATTTGATGACTAAAAAATGCATGCAACAGTTTTGCTGAAGTGTCAGAAACAAAATACATCAGGTTAAATCTTAGACATAACGAGCCAATTAATAGTCAGAATCCAGGATAATAATCATCTTAGACTTAACGGGCCAATTAATAGCCAGAATCCAGGATAACATATGTGAAGCCTAGATAACTGAAAACTGGGAATTTTAAGATTACTCTGTTTGTTTGACATGAGAATTCTGGGGGAGGGAGAGGATGGGACTTGGATTTTCATGATTGTGTTAGCTTAAAAAGATTTGTCTATAAAAATAAATAATATCAATTTCAATAATATTCTTGAATTAAATGTTATATTTTTTATATTATAATATAATCTTAATTAAGATTATTGCTTCGTTTTTTTTGTAACAGTTGGAGCTCACTCTTGTAAGTTCTTTTCTTTTCCTTTTTTCTTCCACTTTGTTGCTTGGGCCTATATTTTTTATTACTCTAGTTAGTTTGATCTTTCATTGCTCTTAGTGAAAGTGAATTTTTCTTATTAAAAAGGAGAAAAAGAAATGGAATTAAACGAATAAATTACCACTACTAGTTGCCTTACAAGGACAATTATAATGGACAAACAAGAAAATAACGATGACTATGGTGTTGGAATCTCAAAAGCCACCTTCTTAGGCAGGAATGAGCCACCCACTAGATTGGATGGTCAAGGTTAAGCATACTTCAATACGTGAGCACCTTTGCCTTCTCATATAACTAATATGGAGATACAGGTGTCATTCTAGCTGTGGGAGGGGGTCTCCTCATCCTCTGCCCTTAGGCTGTCTTGCTTCTTTTCATTCTAATGAAAGGTTTCTTTATCCAAAAAAAAGGGTGTCATTCTAATAAGAATATTTCCTTCTCACTAACCAAATGGCAAATGACATGCTGATGTGCATCAATTTGGATCAATTAAAAGATTTAATTTTACTGTTGGAAAAACAAAATGCAGAATCATCAGATAACTCGAAAACGATGTGCAAAAAACCACGAAAGCAGGGAAGAACTTTCTGAACGTACGTAGAAAATCACGCTGGATAAGCCACAGCAGCTTAGCAGGCTCAAAGGCAACATCTTGTCCCTACAGATTATACAATAACAAATCTCCATTAAAGGATGTGATGTAGGTAGAATTAAAGCAACTATAAATGAGTTAAGAATTTACTACCTTCACTCTACGTCCGGGAGCAGTATGCAGAATAAAACACGTAACAGTCAGGTTTCAACATAAAAAATGTAAACAACAAAAAGAAACATGGTTAAATTACAAATTTAGTCTCTAAACTTTGAGGATGGTGTCGATTTAGTCTCGCCCTAAAAAGTTTTAATTACGCTCCTGAAATTTTTTTTATTTTGCTTCTAATAAATCTCTATCATCAACATCATTAACATTTACAATGTTGACATAACATGCTAATTGGACTAACAAGTGATGATTTGGCACGAGATGGACTCACGGAAGGAGATCAACCAAATAAAATCAAACGGAATACAATTTGAACAGGATGGTTTTGTATACTTGCCCTTACTTAATCTAGCTGACCGTCACATCATGCTAAACTATCGGTCTCATCACTCATTAGCTCAATGATCAACATGTAATGTCAACATTTAAGAAACTATGTCATGTAAACAATAATGATCTACTAGAACCAAAATCAAGAGACACCACACAACTATCAAAGTTTAGAAAATAAATTTGAGATTTAACCAAAAAATATTTAATCAAATAAATTTAGAAAATGCAAACCTCCCATAGAATTCTTCAGCAAGCTCAACAGCAAATGACAATCTAGAAATATCAGCTTCACGGATCTATAGAAAAGAAGCCAAAAACATTAGTAGAAACAACTGGAAACTGGCTCAATAGTATCATACGAACTAAAACCCAAATTACAATCATTAACATCAAGCAGATACATGGTGTATAATAGCCTAGTGTCATGCTCTAGTATCATCAAATTTTTCGAAAATTATCAGTAGTCCATTCTTGATATCAACCCAAGTCAACCTAAGGTTATTCATGGCTTGCTATAAATAATAAAACAAAAAGAAGGCCAACTCATAACTATGAGCAATAATGTGGTCTAAAGTATATTGAATTAAGGAGAGTAGTGAACTATTTCAAATATAACATGTTTAGAATTACTTAAATCTCTGGACAATCAGTAGTCAGAGCCACTTTTGAACTGGAAAAAAAAATTAATGACATCATGTGCGGCCATATTTCATAAGATTAAAATTTTAAATATCTGAGGAACTACCCCACCAGTCAATAGATTAAGAGACACTCATAACATTCAAGCTTTGTGTCACGTCCACTACTGTCACTGATCACGCTTGAGCTTCGATATTTGAGTTCAACATAGAAGAATTCTAAATAAGACAACATTTTATTACAGTAGGAACAATGATTGTCCAAAGCTAAAAAGAAAACTGTCTCTCTTATTTGAAGTCACCAGAGGAAAACTTGTTTTTCGTAAGTGAATGAGAAAAAACCAAATGGTACTTGGAATTTGTAGCATGACAATAGCCGATCAGTGATGAATTGTTGTATCCTAGCTATTGTTCCCTTCTTGTCATATAAGTTTAAAATTAAAACTATGGATTCCATTTTACCAATGAAAATTACAAGGTTTCAAGCAAAAGCAACCGTTGATATGTCATATGATGAAAATATCAAGTCATGATGACTCACAGTCTCTGGCAGGTTGTAGATAAGCACAGAACTCAGAACAGTTGCCAGAGCAAAGATCCTGCACAACACATCAAAAGGGAAGATTGTTAAAGGGAATGAACACAAGAACTACCACCTCAAACTAACTCACTAACTCGGATTACCGATCATCATATACATTTGACTTTCCAACACTTTCAAATCCTTCTGTATCGAGGAAAAAAACAGAAGTTTTGACTCCATCAATCATCAACTCCAAAGGAATGCCCCATACCCAGATCCCTGTGCAAGGCAAAACAAATTGACAAACTAAATAAATAACTAACAAGTAAATATAACACATCCACAACCCAACATCATTGCATCTAAATTTACCTTTTGTTTTGGTGTCACGCAGGTGTCCTACACCAAACCCTGAAACTCAAAATATTTGATTTATACATTAAATGATTTATATATATATACATACAGGATATTGGTTGAAACAAGAGAGAATAGGTCCGAACTAATAGAAGTAAACGCACCTTCATAACAAGAAAGAGAGAGAAGTTGGTTAAGCAAGAAAGATTTTCCAGATCGGTATGGGCCAATGACCTTATCGTATGAAAGAAAAACACAAGATAAATCAGACCATATATATATATATAGTATCTAAAAAAGCTTCAACCTATAATATTTATTATTCCAGATAACAAATAAGCAGGTTACAATAAAACTACAAAAAATAAAAAAGGTTAAATTACAAGTTTAGTTCCCAAACTTTGTCCTCGTACTTCAATAAGTTCTAATAGATCTCTACTTTCAACATTGTATCCATTTGATCCTTATACTTAAAAAGATAAAAATAAAAAATAATAATAATAATAGGTCTGCGAACTTCGAGTTTTATGTATCCCTAGCATTAACTATGTTAGTCTAACATTTATTTATTTATTTATTTTGAAAACCCAGAATCAATAGCTCTTTAGCTTTTTACCCTATATCCGTGGGCACCCGCGCCCGCCCAAGGCTCAAATCCAAGAGACATCAAGACTTTTTTGTATTGAATTCACTCAAAGATTCAAACACAAGACCTCATGCTAGGTGATACCACAAGACCCTATCCCCTTGCCAATGGGGATGCCCTTGGGAGTGTTAATCTAATATTTATATAGCATGTTAACTATATTATTTAAGAATTACGTGGTGAATTAGTTCCGAGCAAGGTGTAAGCATTAAACTAATGGAGTTAACAGCGAGACACAAAAGTGAAAGTTCAAGAGCCTATTAAAATCTTTTCAACCATAAGGACTAAATAGGCACAACCTTAAAAGTTTCAGGACCTACTAGAAACTTTTTAAACTATAGAGATTAGATAGACAATTCTTATAATTTAACCAAAGAAAAAATGGAAATCTTACAAGTAAATTGAGGATAACCGGTCCAGGTCCTTGAAGCCATAATTTTTAAACTACTATGCATATGAACTAAAGAAAGTATGCATTAAATGGTTCCCGCATCATGAACCACCCATTCCTCAATAAAAGACTGGAAATCTTTCTCATTTAAAAAAAAAAAAAAAAAATACAAGGGAAAATTATTGTTCAAGATTCAATTCAAAGATATCCATTCATTTAAGTTATGTAGAAATGAGTCTACAAGTACTAAATGTCACAGAAGAGCATCTCAGTCTAACCGCAACAGCTGCAATTGGGTTTGTTATTCTCTCAATGGCCTCTAAACCTTCTCTAGAAAGCCGAAGTTTTGTGTGGCCAGGATCAGGTTCCACAATTGGAAATCTGTAAGTGATTAAAACAAGCTTTAGTCCTTTTCTTACAGAGGAAACAAACAACTCTGGCAAAAGACAGATTCTAAAGCTTTGAACATCATGGGCTAACAAATGAACGAGCATATGTCTTCCATGTGGTATGTTCGACCGTTCATAACAAAATACAAATACGTGTAGAAAATATTAGCAAAACATTTACGGAATAAAACATTGTGAGCTAAGTTTAAGATGAAAGGTGCGTTCATCTCATAAGTCAGAACCTTGTTAAAAGTAAAAAACTGTCCTCTCTCATTGACTAATTACCAATTTTGAGGAGTGACTAATTACCAATTATTTACTAAAATAAAAATTTGCATGATAAAATTAGAGTATCATTTTATAAAAGCAACAAGAAAGATTAATTCTATGTATTTTATTTTTAAATGTGGTATTCAAAATGAAAAATAATTAAAATACTGTGACATGAATTCAAATTAGTAAATATAACTTTTTTGAAAATTAAAATAACACTTTATCTAAAGAAATCAAAATAATAAAAATAGCTTAAAAGATCAATGAAAATTTTTTTAAGACATATTTATTTTGACCCCTAAACTTAGCTCATAGTTGGCTCAATGAGTCAATTTTAATATTACACGTTCAATTTTGTCCAACTAAACTCTAAAGTAAAATAAATATCTCCTCAAAACTAAATTAGAAAAATATTCATGAACCAACCAATAAATCTAAGATTAACCAAACAAAACACTCAAAATCAAGCCAAAACATGCTCAAACCCAACCATGAAAATACATGAACCTGGACACGGAGTAAAGCATTCTAACAAGCTCTCTCTTAAACCTTGGACTAGCCATCTACTTAAAAGTTAAAACATCTTCCAACAGTACCAAATATTGTCCCAATCCTCTAGTTGTCAGTTGTCACCACGCTTCTTCTTGGTTAGTCATATACAAATATAGAAAAAAAAATTTGTAGCTGATAGGCAACCCCTTTATATTTTTTTGGTACCATAAGTGCATATAAATAGAATATGCGAGGCTCGGTTCATAACTCTAAGTTGCTGTTGCACCAATTTCATTCTCGCTTATCTACGTATTAACATTCTAATTGCTAAAATTTTATGCTAATAATACGAGTTGTTCTTCCTTCGGATTCTTTATTCAAGATACAGCATCTTTCAGAAATTAATCTTCTAGTTAATTTTCATTTCCCTCTAATACCTTCCGAACCAAAATTAAATAAAGATTTGTCTCCAGAAGCAACAAAATACACCTTTATATCACTGATCAACTGTGCGCACTACGTAACAACATTATAATAAATTAAACGAAATTAACAAAAAAAAAACTTCCACCAAACTCAAAACGCCAAGTATTACAGATCAACTATTAAGGGCGGCCTGGCTTTAATCTGAGGGGAGCTCCCAAAAGTAATTCAAACCAACTTAGCATCCAAGATTCAGAAGGACAACCAATCTCAAAAGAATAGAAACAAACTTACGCTTGCTGGAAATTCTCTATCGCGAGAGACCCCCAAGGGATGGTGCAGAGAATCGAAAAAATGAAAACCCTCGGTGAAATCCCCATTGCTGAACAACCCTCCGTCAGAGGCAGAAGCAGGCGTAGGAGAACCAAGGGGCGAATCAATTACGCATTATTGATGAGAAGAAAAAACATTTGGGTTTTTTGGAGAAATGGGATCTAGAAAAACCATGAAAAGGGGCGTACGAAAGGAATAATGCAGACGCATGAACTTGGTTTTTGCATCTATGGAAGAAGAAGAAACTGGTAAACGGGGCTGTGCTTGATCTTCAAATTACGGTACCTGCGAATTGCAATTTGTGAATATAATATTTGGAAGAGGAGATGAGATCTACAAGGGGCGCTTCCGTCTAAAGTCTTACATTGAAAGTCTGAATTTTTTGGATTCATATCATAAATGTAGATTACAATGTAAATTTCGAGTTCTCAATGGGATGGAAATATCGACAGAATAAAATGTCCATGTTGTAAAAAGTTGAAAAAATTATAAAATTATAAATAAATATATTTAAATAAATAAATAAATATTTTTTTATTTTAAAACAAGTTAAAAATAATTAATATTAATATTGTGTATATATTAGTGACATTTTGTTGATATTTTTCATATTTTGTCGGTTTTTTTAATACGATAGAAATGTTGATTTATCCCTCATACACGAATATGTCAGTGGAAATGTCGATGCATCGATAGATATTTAATACCATAATTCATATTCTTGAAAATTGATATTTTTTCTTTTTGTCGAAACGAGCATAACTCAACTGTAATTTGATCAAATATACATGTCTTAACTTGTATTAACTAATTGAGCTAGGTTCAGTTTAGCCAAAATTTTGATTTATTTATCAAAATTACTGACAAGATTACAATTAAAGTTTAACTATACACATTTAAAAAAAATTTGTCCAAAGCTATGAAGTATATATATCTCAATTAAATTCTTGAATCTCTAGATATTGTTTAATTAAAATGTATATAAAATAAGTTGTCAAAAATTACTAGTTAAAGATAGATCATCGACCAAAATATTAGAAGTTCAAATTCTCATTTTACTTACTAAACTCGAAAAAAAAATGATAATATATTTTGTAAATTAATGATTTGTATTGGGTTAGATTGAAATTATGGATGTTAAATTTTTAGTTTAAATATTATTTTGATGGGCATTTTTAGTTTTTGTTCATTTTAACTTATATATACTTTCAAAATGTCTATTTTAATCTACATCTAAAAAAGTGACGGTTTTGATTTCTATTCATAAACTATGACATTTATATACATAAATACTAGGGTGTACATTGGAGGATGGATAATCGACCTTATCGATCGAACTAACATCAGTTGGTTGGTCGGCGAGGTAATTAACCCCAATCGATCGAACGACTGATATTTATATTGCCATTGTTGATTCGCTGCCCTCAACCATGGCAGAGGCATCCCTCGATGCTTCAATAAACATCTTAAAAGTGCAAAGAGCAAAATAAACTAAATCTAAAGTAAAAAATCAAAATAGTATTTAACCTATTTTTTACATAAACTAGTTCGACATTGAGTACATTACGGATAAGGAGATTCTAACTCACGACATTCTGGTTAGACATAGATGTCTTGTTCTATTAAATTATGTTCAAATTAACTAAACTAGTTCAATATTAAGTATGTTGTATGTGTTTATAAAGTTCAAAATATGGTTTAGTTATCAAAACTAACCTACGATTTTATTATGTATAGAAAATGAATGTGTGGTATAACTAATTATCTGAATGTATCCGGCCCAGCAACGAAAACCCTCCTACTACAAGGTGAGGCTCTGCGGGGTCGATTTAGGCTCCTTCCCTTCCACTGCATAGCTGCGCTAGCAGGTACTACGAGCCCTGCTTATCCTGGCTACAATAACTATCGAACAGCGATCCATCTGAAGAATGGCGCTTGTATATCCCTAGGCGTGGGTCTGTACTTTCCTCTATTAGAGAAGGGGGAGGTTTGGAACTCGAAAAGTTTTATTATTTTCTATACGATGCAACCTTGTTCATGTGAAAAAAGATGTGAATTATTTATGGCCGCCTGCCTTTTATAGGGTGAATATTAATTTTTAGTTATGTTCTACTAAGAAAAAAAATATTAGTTTTTAGTTTTCTTTTTTAAATATATTTCTAACATTCTAAATTTCTTTGTAGATGTATGACGTAATTCATTAATAAATTTAAGCAATGGTAAACATACATACGCCTTTTTTTGTTATCCTATTAATAATTAATAAATATAATGCATATTTTATTAAAAAAATAATGCATATTAGAAATGGAAAAATGGTTGTTTTAAAAATATAAAACTAAAAAAACTATAAAACATATTTTATTATAAGTATAGAGGAACGAGTTAAAGATTCATGATAACTGCCTACATAAAAATTAATTTCTTATATATATTTTTTACAACCAAATGTAGCAACGTTAGACAATTGTGAGATAAATCGAGGTACACGCAAACTATCTGCACACTCACGCATATCAAAAAATTAAAATAAAAAACATTTTATTATGACTAAATACACCAAAGTTCTTAATTCTTTTGTAGGCAATTTTCAATCTGGTCTATAATCTTTTAAATTTCTTAATTTTATCTTGAATGTATTGAAAATTATCAATTAGGTCTTTTCCTTCAAAAATTTTTCAAATTTGTTAACAAAAAAGTTAATGTATCATTAAATTATTATTAAATATTAAACATAAAATTGAGAATTTTAAAAGATTAGACGTCATTTCATATATTTAATCTTTGATTAATACGTTAGCCCAATTGAGTTTTTTTTTTCTAGTAGAGAAAATTCTAGCATTGCTTCTTAGTTTTCTATTTACAATGTTTCTAATCGTTTAATTGTGTTACATGCATCCACTGTATGTAATTAATCTAATTAATCTGGTACATTAAGTGAGGGAGTAAATTTGATACACTATTAGAATCCATCCACTGCAAACCAAAATCAATTTTAGAATGATCTGAAACCTGATAATGGAAAGAGACAAATTTGAGAATGAAGTTCAACCTATCATCGATGAAATCACTATTTATGGAAATGTAGGAAATTAGTGAACGACTTCAACCTAACCTCAAGAGATCGTAATAGCGTGACAAACATCTTATCGAACCATACAAGAAAAGGAGAGTCATCGCGTGGAAATTTGGAAGATCATTCAAGCCAGTTTCAAAACTTCTCATGATAGAGACGACATGTACGAATTTCCAATTTTTACTTTACCTTTGTAGTTTGTTTGATTATTTTTTCTCGTATAGATTTTGATAACTCATTTGGCTGATTTTTCATTTTTTATTTTTTGGTAATTTGATTCACACCCATGAATTGTCTCACGTCTTTAAAACAAAAACTTTAAAACAAAAACTTATTTGCAAAACAATTTGCAAGATAGGCCCTTAATTAGTCAACCATTTCTCCATTCCCTTTTCACTTATATTAGTGTATGGTTAAGAGTCGTGGATTTCCATTCAGAATATAAAGGGGTGGAGATTTACATTCTTTAATTAGTAAGAAATGTTGTGTTACAATGCTTTAAAAAGATAGGGTATATTGTTTCAAGATTCTCACTTAACACAAGGGAAATCTGCCTGACTTTTATGTAACAGAAATCGATTAAGGTCAAAATCGGGTCAAGCCTAAGGTAGGATTGTCGGGTGCCTAAGGTCGAGCCTTTGGTTACCTTCATTGCAGGAAGATATTTCGTGTCATTTGTGGTTAAAGAACGAAGGTCGATTCTAAATTACCAGTCAGGTGAGACCTGACTTTCCAACCTTCCTCTGTCATCCATGTTGCAAGGTTATTTTAATGTCCCAACACTTAGTTTGATTTTATAGCATCCAAGCAGTACATTCATATATCCAAATAGATTATATATAATAGTAATTTAATGATTTGTTAACTTTTTATCAGCCAAATTATCGCAAATAACCTAATTTAGAATTTTTGATTTGAGAGAAAAAAAAAAAAGAAATTAGGCAGCGTGTATATTTTTAGTCATAATTATTTAATCAGACCATATGGCGCGAGGCAACAGACGAAGTTTACAAACGATTACATCTAGACGACGTCGTTTGCTGAAAAAGTTAAATGCGTAATTAAGAATCCTAAGGGGCCAAAAGTGTAAATTTAAGAAAAAGTAGGCCCTTTTAGACAAAGTACCAACATTTTTAACCAGGACAAAGCTTCCTCCTTTTTCGTCTCTGTCTCTGCTCTGAGAGCACCCAACTGAGGAACAAGAACAAGAACTTGGAGAGAGAGAGATCGAAGCGAAATCGCAATCGAACTTCTCAAAAAACCTGAATCAATCTCTCTTTTCCCCCTCTTTCATGTAGATGCTTTTCCAAGCCGCCGTTTCGCCGTCCTCAATCGATTTGTTTACTTTACTCCTCGCCCGAGTTCATTTCCATGGCGAATAATCATTCCGAGACTCCCGCCGATGATTTCCTCGAGCAGATTCTTGGGATTTCCCCTTTTGGGTCGGCGGAGCAAGGGTTAGCTGGAACTGACGGCGGCTTGGCCGGAGCTGCGGCGGCTCAGGCCCCGATGATGCTTCAGCTTAGCTCCGGCGACGGCGCCGGACATATGGCGACAATTGGGAGTGGAAGTGTTGGTGGAACCGGGTTCCATGGCGCCCCTTTTCCCCTAGGGCTGAGCTTAGACCAAGGGAAGGGAGGGTTTCTGAAAGCAGAGGAAGCTTCTGGAAGTGGGAAGCGGTATTGTGGGGGCGTTGTGGATATTCGAGCTTCATCTGTGAAAAATGTAAGATGGTAATTTTGTAACTTATTATTTGTTTTCTTTTATAATCCGGAATCCATGCTGCGTGGCTTCACCGGTTGGATCCCTATAATCGGGGTGTCAACGGCGACCCAACACTGTAAACGAGGTTGCGGGACTTGTCCTTGAATGGAGAAAGCCCCAGCTACACGTTCTGCGGGTCTCGAACGGGGTATCCTATTCGGTCGCCACCACCCGTGGCGGTAATTTTGTAACTTATTGTATACCCAGAAATTTTGTTTTCCTTGGAAACAAACACCATGCTTATCTATTGTATTTTGTGAGTTCTTTTTTATCTATATGGAAAGTAGAATGAGAGAAGGCGCTGGGAAGGTTGTAAAACCAACTCATTTGAGATTAAACATTGTTTGAAGAATGGGAGTTGCTGTGCAAGCAGGAGTGAACATTTTATGATATTTTACTTTTCTTCACCTATCTATGTGCTGACAGGGTTATGGTTCTTGACTTTTTTTGAACTCTTTTTTGTACTTACTGAACTAGAGATTAGCTTTCTCTTGTGTTTACAGGTTATTCTTTTTTTAAAGCTAACATGCACTGTTTCCAAAGTAATTATGATAAGAAAAAAAAAAGGTATCTTAATACTTTTTCTTATTGAATTTTTATTTTGTGCTCTATGATGACTTAGCTGTGATGTTTCTGGTGTTTGGTTTTTGCCCAAGAGAAATGAGAAATTTGAGAGGCTTCTGTTTGATATAGTGCCATTCTTTTGCTCTTGAGGCAGAGATTTTATGTTCTCCTGTTGTTCTAAATGCAAGTATTAAATTTTAAATATCTTTTCTCATGGTTTTTCTTTTCTGGGGATGGGAATGGTTGATTTGCATTAAGTTACCCTCTTTTGATCTCTCTGCAGGTGTTTCCAGGCCAACAAATGCACGCTTCTATGGGTGTAGCCCCGCATCCACCAGCAATGCGCCCTAGGGTTCGGGCAAGACGAGGACAGGCAACTGATCCACATAGCATTGCCGAGCGGGTAAGATAGACACTAGATTGGAGAAATTAGAAACAGTTGACCATTGGTAGATTATTCTCGTATCGAAGTCTTACTGTAGCACTTGGTTGCATCTTGAAGCTGTCAGATTTATTTATTTAACTTTCTGGAAGTAATTTGAATTGCCATTTACGTTTTGTGACAGTTACGAAGAGAAAGGATTGCAGAGAGAATTAGGGCTTTGCAGGAGCTTGTTCCGAGTGTCAATAAGGTGACTGTCTACGCTTTTAAGTCTTTGGGATTATCAAGATAATTGTTTCATTTCACTTTTAGGCAATTCCATGAGAGAGTTCTCAATTTTAGTGTATAACTTTTGTAACTTAATGTAGAAATGGTTTTTTTTTTTTGGTGGTGGTGTTTTTCAAACTCTTGTTTCCATAACTTAGAAAACCTGGGTAGATCTCTTTCCTCAAATTATCGTTTGACATATGATAAGTAATTTAAATGATCGTAGCATATGGTAATGTTTCCATACATGGGTAGATGCTAATTGGCAATATCTCTAAACCTTTTAGATCTAGTTTTAACTTTTGATTGATACAAAAATATGGCGCTTTCTCATTCGGCTCCTGTATTTCCCCTCGCCGATGTGAAAGCAGCTGTCAAATCAGAGCTAACTTCATATATGTAAACCAATCGTGAATGCACTTTACCTCTAAA